CTACGAGTTACTAATGCAGCAATTGGAAATCCATTACCCATTGATTTACCTAATGTAACAAAATCAGGAATAAGATCTAATTAACAATAAAAAAACAAAGATTGAATGAAATTTTTATTTTTGATCTTTTTTGAAATAACCTTCTTCATATGATTGAAATGACCAAAAATGTGTACCACATCGACCAAAACCAGCTTGTACTTCATCAGCAAGACACAGAATACCTTTTGATTGAAGATAACTAATAATTAAAACAAAAATTTATATTTAGAAAGTAAAGACAAAAAATATTTTCATTTACTCAAATGTTTTTCTAAGATATCCTTTTGGATAAATAATTTGTCCACCACATGATTGTAATGTTTCAAGAAAAAATATTGCTATACGACGTCCACGTGATTCAGCTTCTTCAACTATTCGACGAACTTCATCAAAATATAATTGACATAATTTAACTTCATTATTATTATAATCAATATCACGAAATTTTCCTCGATAAACATCAGGTGTTGGGACCTATGATATATTAGAAATTTTTCAATTAATTATAACTGATTTTCCAGTGAAAAAAGTTTAAAAAATTCTCTATGTAACTAAGTGTAAGACTTTACTGTACGATACAGAGATGGAATCCATCTGAGTTTTTCATGACCGGACCGGCTATTAACTGGTACGATAATTTTCTACTTGTCATATCGATTATTTCAATTTTAATCAAATACTTACGACATGAATATGCTCGGGCATTTTCTGTTGATTCATCATTTTTTTATACATATAACTAGATAATTCAACAAGACTTAGTAAATGACCATGATAGGCACTAAATACAAAATCTATATCTTTATAAAACCTTTTTCTTTCTGTTTAACTTACTTATCAAGTACAAGAATATCATAATTTCCTGTATATTCTCTAGCTAAACGAATTGCTAAATCGTTTGCTTCAGATCTGAACATATGAAAAAATATCATTTAAACGTAACAAACGAACATAAATATTGATTTATTGTACCCTGAATTTGTATAAAAAAATTGTTCAAGACCTTTTGGTAATGTTTTAGTAATTCTTTCAGCAAGAATAACAGTATTATCATGTAAATAACGATTATTTGTTGCACATGCACTCATTTGTTTATAAACTTGATTATTAACATATGGATGACAATGACCAACTCAAATAAAAAAATTCATATGAATAAATAGGAAGAAAAAGTAACAAGATCGATATGACATACCATGTGCAACATTATTAATACAATCTAAATATTTATTGCCTAATTGATCATACATATATGTTCCTTGAGAACGAACAATTTTAAGTGGATTTTCACG